TACATCATCGTTATAGAGCATACAACACGTTCTGTATACTCAACAAAATTTTGGTACAATTTAAAAAAAACTGCAAGGCCTAAACCTTGATTTTTTATTACGTTGTCGCGCCAAGACAGATTTTGTCAGCTTTGTCGCCAAGCCGCGACTTTCATTCCAGTTTTGACGCACGACAAAAACACGGACGCCATCGCATTTTTTTATAAAGGAACAAGCACTACACTCAACAACGTTGAAAAACCGTTGATTACGAGTAAATTTTGTTTAAAAAAACGCTCTCATTACAAGTCAATTTCGTTGACAGAACATTTTTATAGGAACGAACCCTCCAGGGATTTAACATTTAAATCAAGTTAATTACGAGTAGACTACCTTGAAACTACGTCTAATTGATGTGTTTTTAAGTAGGTTCAAGCTTTTGACAAATAACGTTGAAACGACGTTTATCACCAGTTAATTTCGTCGCAACAACGTTATATCGATGTTGTCTCAACGTCAGATGCCTGGTGAGAGGCCACATCTATGGCCTCGATAAGTCAAAAAGTTCCGAGTAGAGGTCACATAGAAAGGGTAATTTATCGCTCCCTTTTACTGCAAGACAAAATCCCCATCATAACCTAATAAGGACCAGGCACGGTCCTGTCGAACGAGTCATGTCGCCAAGTGCCTATGGGCGCCATAGCCACAAACTGCTCATCGTAAGTTATTAAGTGAAAACATGGAACGACCATGTCAATGGATTGAAGGACCATTTCAATGGTATACAAGTACCGTAAATAGTAATGCTGATCCTAAGTTATTATGTGAACACATTGAACGACCATTTCAATGGATTGAACGACCATTTCAATGGTATACAAGTAATGTAATTAGTATTGCTGATCGTGTTATTAATTGAACGACCATTTCAATGGTATACAAGTACCGTATTAGTATAGGATGGCAAAATTTGTTCATTTAGACAAGTTTGACTAAAGACCAGAGAGTGACTTTTATTCATAATTTTCTTGTAGGTTTTCTCAGTAAGTCGAACTAGATTTTTCGCAGTCGTTGGTGGATTGAAAATCAGGTTTTCGAATGACATTTTTCAATATTTTAACGACGCTTTGATTGTATCAACATGCATTTTCAAGTTACAGGACGCATTGAGTAGTGATATTTTGATTGACATAAGTAATAAAATCGTGTAAATAGGATACTACTCAAAAATTACACTGCGGAGATTAAGGGCAAGTTAATACATATAAAAGCCAGTTTCCTACACCAATAATGCCCCAAGCAAGGTCAAGTTGATAGTAAAGACATATTGTGCAAGGGGATTAGTATGCTCACAGTGCTCAGTTGGCATAGCATGCATAGAATAGGATGCATAATTATCAAAACAAACATTAATGAGAGTTACAACTAGTTCATGAGAAGCGCCTTTAAATAGAACAAGACTTGCCATTCAAGTCGGATTTGTGATCAATGGCGCGGTATCCTATGAAGGAAGACCTCAAGATCCCCGATATAACACATACCCAGAGTTCGTTTAGAGACACACACCCAAGGCCATGCTGCAAGCACCACCCTTGACGGCTACCGAGCGCCGCCCGCCAGCGACAGCCGAGAAATTAACTGAGCTCCCCGAGGCTCGAACCCACGACTAGCTCCTCGAATCTCTCAACCACTGCGCTACAGTGATTTACAATAAAAAAAATAAATGGGTTATATTATCCAAACAGCGACACACATTCTGCACGTACCATTAGTGTCAGGCCAAAGTCAAATAGGGCCACGATGACACAGAAAAGAGCAAAAAGTGTATCGTAATTTGACAATGTCTCATTCATTTCTCTGAGTGTACGGCAGAGGGAATTGAATCAGCCCTTCAGTACACGAACCAAACGAGCGAACTGAACACATTAAATTTGGGCAGAAGATGCGATCTTGTGATTAACTGCACTGCTGCCATTGTGCTGGAATAAATCCCAGCATTAGCTTAACTATTAGTTTTAGTTTTAATATTTTTTAGTATCCGCGTACACGGACAGGCTCGTTCCGGGTTATTTAGAAATTTTGGCGGCTAGAGAAGCGTCGGTCCCTGTTCCTGGGATAAACAACGGTGTGACTCGTAGACAAAGCAACATTTGTGAGTTATTTTATCGTGAATAATTTGTTCATGTTGTAGAAGTGTACTCTTAGCAACTGTCTGCAATGCGATTCTATGAAATCGTTTCTACCAAACATATATTTCCCCTGGCCAGTAGCTTAACTTGTCCTATGCAGTATTACGTAGCTTATGCGACCTGTATTTTATAAGAATTCTGGTGTTCAAGACTCTCGGATAACATGAATATGAGTTATTGAGTTCTGATACTTTCTGATGAGTTCTGTCACTTTCTGACAACTGTGCATCATTTTCATGTGTACCTAATTTTGCCTGATTTATCAGTGATATGAGCAAGGATGTTTAAGCATTGTTTACTGTTTCATGATGTTCTATCTCATGATGCACACCCTGAAAACTATGTTCTGTTTCATTGAATCCGGTTAAACTCATAAATGATCTTGATACTGTCAATTATTAGCAGTTTTGCCCCATTTATAACGTGTTTTGTTTTTTCTGAGACTGATTTTCTAGCTGATTGTGCGAATTAACCCAATTGTCCATGATTATTGAATCAATTACTAATTAATATTCACTTGTGTAACGTAACCAGGCAGTTTGTACTGTATAACCCTGAGCGGATTTTTTCCTTGACAAAATTTTCCTGTTGCCGCCTATATGGAAATTTCTGAATATTCCTAAGCGTCTTGAATTGCTCAATCGTTACCGACTAACGTTTCTAGGAGTTACTATTAAGACTAATTTTAAGTTCTGCCTTCTTATGGTACTCTGTTTTGCAGAGCACGTCATGTGAAGATGGACTGACAAGAAGTACAGTAAGATTCCAAAAAATCTGTATTTCATTCCCTGCAAACCATCTGTGTCCTCTGGCATGAGGACACGACAGCCATAGTAACTGCAAATATGCAATCCACAGCGAAATTTTCAACAGAAGATCTGTAAACAACTGTGCACCTGTGATCCACTGAAAAAATTCACAACTTTGGATATGTAAGCCAGAGCAAACCAAAAGCAAAAATAAAACTAAGTACTAAATCAAAAACAAGTGCAAAGTTAAAACTCAGGAATAAATTCAATCGAAGGGCCAAGTTTAATCTTAGGGTCAAATTCAACCTAAGGACCAAGTTCAACCTAAGGAATAAATTCAACCTAAGGACCAAGTTCAATCTAAGGAATAAATTCAATCGAAGGACCAAGTTTAATCTAGAGACCGAATTCAACCTAAAGAATGTTCGAGCTAAGAAATAAATTTAATTTTTTAAATTTAAATTTTTTAAATTTAGGCCTAAGTTTAATCTAAGGATCAAGTTTAATCTAAGGATCAAGTTTAATCAAAGGACCAAGTTCGACCTAAAAACCAAATTCAACCTGAAGATGAAGTTCAACCTAAAAACCAATTTCCCCTTAAAGACCAAGTTCAAACCATGAATCTATTTCTTTATACGACGGTTACGACCAATTTCAAACTCAGGACCAAGATGCTCTAACTAAGGACCGAGCACTAACAGATGCCCCGATTAAGGACGTAAGCAGGCCGGGCACTGCCTGGCACGACCTTACAAGGCAGGCCTCGAGGCAAGACAGAAGCGTGCAGCTTATAAGGCTACCGCCACATAGCCTGTCATTACACCGCGTTAATGGTATGCATGGAGTGTAGTGTGTGTGAGAGTATATAGAGTGGGAATTGTGTGGCTTCTGTATGAGCAGCGTGTTGGCAACTGTGTATGTGTGTGTTGTGTGGCCTCTGTGTTAGCAGCGTGTTAGCTAATGTGTATGTATGTGTTGTGTGGCCTCTGTGTTAGCAGCGTGTTAGCTAATGTGTATGTGTGTGTTGTGTGGCCTCTGTGTTAGCAGCGTGTTAGCTAATGTGTATGTATGTTGTGTGGCCTCTGTGTTAGCAGCGTGTTAGCTAATGTGTATGTATGTGTTGTGTGGCCTCTGTGTTAGCAGCGTGTTAGCTAATGTGTATGTGTGTAGAGCGGCCTTTGTGTGAACAGCGTGTTGCGTGTATGCAGCACAACGCATGGTTGTGACATGAAGCTTATGAAGAAAATGAATTGGTTGTGCAAATAGTGGCACAATTAACGCATGTGGCACTGATATGTCCTTTTGCAGGGCGAAACATTATCAGGATTTGCTCACACATGAGCAAGAAGTGCATCGCTCTTTAGACATAACCTCTCAATTTACCTCAGTGTGTTAAAATATATGTAAGCGAGATGGAAAGTCGCAGCACCGGTGCCTATTATACATGTATAAAGAAGGGGGAAGTGATAGTGAAGAATATAATGGAAGTGAGGTGAAAAGCTGCGGCACGCAAGGTCCAGGCAAGAGCTGTTAATTATGCAGTTGAGGTCGCGAGCAACGCGGATGTCCAGCGCCATCGGCGGCAACCCGCATACAAGGAGCCTGGGCCCCACCCCTGCCGCGTCACCATAGCAACCATGCTGCATGGAGCGTCACCATAGCAACCAAGTTACAGGGAGCGTTACCATAGCAACCAAGTTACAGGGAGCGTCACCATAGCAACCATGCTGCATGGAGTCTAAACATGGCAACTATGCTGCATGGAGCGTCACCATAGCAACCATGTTACAGGGAGCGTCACCATAGTAACCACGCTGCATGGAGCATCACCATAGCAACCATGCTGCATTGAGCGTCACCATAGCAATCAAGTTACAGGGAGCGTCACCATAGCAACCAAGTTACAGGAGCGTCACCATAGTAACTAAGTTCCACCAAGCTGCATTGTATGCGTTACAAAAAAAAAGAGCGTTTCATTTGGACTGCGTTTCATCTAGGTGTTCACTGTTTCAGAGGCGTTCTATTATGAATACGCGTCATCTGGTTTAATTTGCAATTCGTTTCACTGGAAATGCGTTAGCTCTTAGATGCGATTATCTGCAATTACGTTTAATATTGAACGCGATTATCTGAAATTCGTCCCGCTTAGGATGCGCGTCGTCGGGAATGCGCTTAATATTTAAGGCGATTATCTGAAATTTATTCCGCTTAAAACGCGTGCGTCGGAAATGCGTTTAATCTTAAATGCGATTATCTGGAATGCGTACTCACCAGCGTGGTCTCCATAGCAGCACGTTCCTCACAGCAACTTTTATACACACGTACCTGCAAACAAACATCCAAACCAGCTTAGTAACTCGTCATCTACATTATGTTTTTATTAGATTATTAAGTAAATTAATAAGTTATTAATTATTATTATGTATGATAAGTTAACTTAACTATTACTTGAGGGACAAGGTATCACAAGCAGTCAAGCAATTAATTTATAGGAGTCGAAATTAATGCATATTTAGCTATGCTTGTTCTATTGCCATCACGATAACATTGTCTCTTGTAATAAGTGTATCCACATATAACTAATAGTTTACCCATATAGGTCAAAAAAAGTTTCATTACCTGCGGGAATCTGATCTCATTACCATTTAAATTGAACCCATACAGGTTATAAAAAGTATCATTACCTGCACTAATCAAATTTTTGCATAGGTCATAAAAAATGATTACCTGCAGGCCGCACTAATCCCACTATTGTACAAGTCATAAACAGATTGATTACCTGCACCAATCCCACTATCGTACAGGTTATAAACAGATTGATTACCTGCACCAATCCCACTATTGTACAGGTTATAAACAGATTGATTACCTGCACCAATCCCACTATTGTACAGGTTATAAACAGATTGATTACCTGCACCAATCCCACTATTGTACAGGTTATAAACAGNATTGTACAGGTCATAACAAATATCATTACCTGCACTAATCCCACTATTGTACAGGTCATAACAAATATCATTACCTGCACTAATCCCACAATTGTACAGGTCATAACAAATATCATTACCTGCACTAATCCCACTATTGTATAGGTCATAACAAATATCATTACCTGAGGCGTCGGTGAGGTCGGCAGGGAGGTGCTGGCTCAGCAGGTCAGCCATGATGTTCTCGTCGTCGTTAGTGCCCCGCCGCTTGTCCACTGAACAGGCATGAACAAAGTGCATATTAATGAATATATTCTGTATCCATGCTAAAATATATACTGAACAGGCATGAACAAAGTCTTCATTAATGTATAAATTATGTATCCATGCTACGTATTATGAGCTTTAATATATACCGAACAGGCATGAACAAAGTCCTCATTAATGAATAAATACCGTCTCCATGCCACGTATTATGAGCTACAATAAATAATGAAGAGTCATGCACAAAATAGTCATCAATTAACAAAGCACGGTATTCACGCAACACATTATAATTTTTACCTAAGATATAACTGGTATGTGAGGCCCAAAGTTGTTCTTAGTATATAAATCTTGTATCCACGCTACATGTTATGATTTCCAGCTGTAATAGGCACAGAATCATCCCAAAATTGTCAAACTAGTAAACCTGGTATTTATATTACATATTGCTTTATCACGTAATATCTAAAAAATCTCCCAAAATGATAGTAAGTCTTATTGTTAAAGGTTGCAATTTTAAATTTTCACCATCACAACATTGTAATCTTAGGAAACGCTAGCAAAATCTGAACAAATTGCGCCTCTAAATAAACATGCGTTGAAACAGCACGAAGATCGATATATTTTAAGAAACATCCAAAGATAATTACGTAAATAACAAACAATAAATTGTTGTACAATGAATATCAAATGAAATTCATGCGAAATCGCGTTGTGTAGGAAACGCTTTGAAACTATAAGAATCAATAATAATTGAACAAGTTGCATTTTCATCATTACTAAGTTACTAATTAGTATATCTCACTTCCAGATGTCGCCTCAAGACAAAATTCATGAGATAACTTCATCTTAATTCACAGCGAAATAATATATAATGAAGAATGGTAACTAAAACATTCAACAATAAGAACTAACAATAAGCTGAAATTGTGTTTTTTTATTATACTGTAATGAGAAAAATTAATGGGAGGCAAAAAGTATGGCGGATGACACAAACGGAAAACTGAACTTGGGAAAAGCGATGTTTCGAAGCCAGAGACATCGATCGACTGTACACACGGGCATGTGACATGAAATAATACGTGAGACACACGTGTAGAAGATACATGACTAAGATACTTATACGAGACACATGACACTGAAACTCAAGAGACACATGCAACACATGAGACGCATGCAATGCATGAGACACATGCAACACACGAGACACATGCAACACATGAGACACATGCAACACATGAGACGCATGCAACACATGAGACACATGCATCACACGAGACACATGCAACACACGAGACACATGCAACACACGAGACACATGCATCACACGAGACACATGCATCACACGAGACACATGCAACACACGAGACACATGCAAAACATGCAACACATGAATGAGGCTCACGTGTCCGGGAGGCGTGTGTATTGTGGTGAGGGAGAGGCAGAGTGTAGAATCTAGAAACTGTGTATCTTGAATAATGTGTCCATACAGCGGAAATATACGAGTACAAATGGTGAGTGGAAGAAATAAATTTCCACACAGCGGAAATATACGAGTACAAATGGTGAGCGGAAGAAATAAATTTCCACACAGCGGAAATACACAGCGAGTACACATGGTGAGAGGAAGAAAAAAAGTGTTCACACAGCGGAAATATACAACGAGTACACAAGGTGACAGGAAGGAATTCGTAAGAAATGAGCAGCAGGAGTACAAGGTAATATTCAGGCGAATGAAATAAAATCGGAATAAAATTTAACAAGGTTTTAAAAACACGACAACGAAACGAAAACGTAGTGAGGAAGGAATAAGAAGGTGAAGAATTGGTGATAGTGTAAACATGGAGAATAATAGTGCAGGTGATGGTGTGGGTCACAGAATGCGTGGGAGGGACAATAATATCGTTAATACAAACAACACACAATACAAACTCACAATGAGGTGATATTGTAACACAATGGGAAACCGTGATCTCCTACGGGAATACTCTCTTACACATGGATACTGAAACCTTAAACAAACATATATTATCTTAAATATTGGTACTTATACTTCCTGTGAAAATATTACATGAAACATTGATACCTCTTGAAGAAATAATATAAAAATATGTAGCCAAATTCCGAGTATTATCTCAAACAGTCCAAAGTTAGTGTCGGCGTAGGTTTCTAAATCAAGGATCGGCAACTCATAAGCGGAAAAGTCTAGTAAGGAGCCTTAGAAAATCCTTGAGTTTAAGTCCGGATGCTCAGAATGAGTACCTAACTATTTAGTGATCCATAAAATCAATCGTCCGTATTTTAGCGTTTAGATTGGTAGGACACCGAGCGGTAGGATCTGTAACCAAGCCCTGCCTACTCTACGCTGAAAACAAATATTTTTATTGCGCATAGAAAATAACTAAAATAACATCCTCTTCAATTTGTTTGTGATCACTGCAGGTGCATTATTGCTCATAACTTCGTACGCTCGTGTCTACAATAGGCATTTTCCGATCAAAATTAAGGCCGTGAAAGTAAAGTATTTTTGTAGCTGTGAAACCCTTTAAACGGAGATTCCTTCAGACAAGCGGTTCAGTTCATACACAAAAATAACGCCATGCGTGCGAAAATTGGTGAAGGTCGGTAAAAGCCTTTCTTTTATGGAAGTTATATTGAAGGCCAGATTAGCTTTTTTATTATATTATTTGTATCATTATTAAGTCGAATACTTCGACTCATTGAGCAGAAAAATAAGAAAATTGTCAATAAAAAACGTTCTCTTCAATCAATCTTACATAAAAAAGGTCCTAAAGATCACAATACCGCGTCATACAAGAGAACAACGCACCAAACATCACAGTAGAGTACGATAGGTACATCACAACATCACCATAAATAATATAATTATAAGAGTGAACTTTCGCATATTGGAGACGAGCTGTGAACTCTCGCGCTTGGTTTTGTCACACACCCCAATACATTTTTTTTAATAAATAACGTCATATATTATAATAACATTTATTTTTACATAAAAAAACACTCACTCTGGAAGTTAGAGCCAAGCTGCGAACTCTTGCGCTTGGTGTTGTCATACACCACAAAACACTCTTTTAAATGAAATACCTTATAATAACTTATGTTACAATAAAATTTATTTATAACATAAATAGCACTCACTGGGGAAGTTAGAGCCGAGCTGGGAACTCTTTCTCTTGGTCTCCCTGTCATCAGGGATAATCTTGCCGAGGAAAGAATGAATTTTCTTCTCACGCGGCGGCTTCTTGCGCACCTGGCCTACGCACAGCTCGTCTACCAGCCGTGCGCACAGCTTGTGGATCTTCATCTCGCAGTCTGTACAAGATAATTATATTAATATGTTAACTTTAGTGGGTTAAACTTAATATATTATATAGCCCTTATATTAATATTAGTGGGTTTAATTTCATAGATTATATAGTTCTTATTTAAGCGTGAAAATTGACCGTGCGCACAGCTTGTGGATCTTCATCTCGCAGTCTATACAAAAATTATCATATTAATATAATAATAACTTTAGTGGCTTTAACTAATAGGTCATATAGTCTTTATATTAACTTTACTGTGTGTAACTGACATATAGTCTGTATTTAACCGTGAAAAGTGGATCATTACTGTCTGGGACTATATTAAGTTTGCTATATCAAGTATTATATGTACTATATACATTTTTATATCAAGTTTCACTCATTTTTCTGCATGCACACACTCACTGTCACACTGGTAGCCCTGTGGAGCGACATCTGGGACAAAGTCCCCCTTATTTTTCTGCATGCACACACTCACTGTCACACTGGTAGCCCTGGGGAGCGACATCTGGGACAAAATCCCTCTTATTTTTCTCGAGTGTAAACACTCAAACACTGGGACAAAGTCACACATATTTTTGTGAGTGTAAACACTCAGTCACACTGGTAGCCCTGGGGGGCGACATCTGGGACAAAGTCACACTTATTACACTCACTGTCACACTGGTAGCCCTGGGGGGCGACGCCCCAGACGAGGTCCTGGCAGTGGTTGCAGTAGGTGACCGCCGTGAAGGTGGTTTGGTTGAAGCAATGTTCCCTCACGATTTGCTGCAATATTTTATTTAATTAATATATCATTTGCGTCAATATATAGGTAATTAATTACTTGATTATTATCTTATCATTTGCGTCAATATTTAATTAATTCATTTAATTTCATTTGCTATATTTAATTAATCAAAAATGACATGTTTAATGTTATTTTTTTCTGCAATGCAGAAAACTTTATTTACTTTTGTATATATTTGAAATTATGGATTCCATCCTATTTTTTTTCCTTTCTATTTTATTTTATTCATTTTTAATTCAGATATTCACCTTCTTGTTTGCCTTGAAGAACAAAGAGGTTTATCCTAGCTGACATAGAGAACAGCATCCACCTTACGTATTATTCCCTTAAAATTCACGTGAAATTCCTTAAAACTAAAACAAAAAATCCATTGAAATTTCTACAAAATAATTTTATAATTCCCATGTTCACATTTTTTATTTGTTTTTAAGAACTAAAAGGTCTATACTAGCTGATATAGAGAACAGCATCTACCTTATTATTCCCTTAAAATTCACGTGAAATACCTTACAACTAAAACAAAAAATCCCGTGCAATTCCTATAAAGTGTAATTTTATTATAATTGCCATGTTCACCTTCTTGTTAGCCTTGAAGAACTAGGAGGTTCATCCTAGTTAACATAGAGAACATCCGTTGCAATTCCTATAAACAGTAATATAAATAATTAAATAAAATAATTTAATAATTGCCATGTTCACCTTCTTATTAGCCTTGAAGAATTTGCTCCTAAGCGGTCTATCTTAGCTGACATGATGAACATCATCTACCTTACGTATTATTCCCGAAAAATTCACATGAAATTCATTAAATTCACATGGAATTCCTTAAATTTACATGGAATTCCTATAAAATAATTTTCTAACTCCCATGTTCACCTTCTTGTTAGCCTTGAAGAACTTGCTCCTGAGCGGTCTATCCTTGCTGACGTAGAGCGGGCATCGGTCTATGAGCGCCAGGGTCTTGGGGCTGCGCACGTTGAACCATTTCCATAGCAACGTGGCCAGGGAGGAGGCCATCATGAGGCCATAGTCGTCCTGAGTGCCCTCCTCACAACTGCTCATATGAGGTCTTGTTACTCATACACTCATACATGTACTACGTCCTCTGAGTACCCTCCTCACAACTGCTCATATGAGGCATTCTTACTCATACATTATGCATGTACTACGTCCTGAGTACCCTCCTCACAACTGCTCATATGAAGTTTTGTTACTCATACACTCGCATAAATACTCAAACACATACATACTGTACAAACCCCTTCTACAAATAAGCATAATACACGAACACCATTCACACAAACATTATGTAGCGCTTATCACACAATAGCCCACACAATTGAAACCATATACTTCGATGCCAACAATTTTCCTCTCATACGATAATTTCAAAAACTCCTAAAAAATAACTCAAGGATAACCAGTACATTAATCACTATACTTCAATTTTATTCAATAATAATAGCAAAATATATAAACACTTAAGTGCTGAGGCTATAAAGTTGAGTAGGATAACAACAATAAGGCTAAATCAACTTGACTTAACTTATCAAGTTATAACTGAAACTTTAGAATAGGGCTCCGTGGCTCCCAGCGTGCTCACCTGACGCTCACTTAACGCGCTCTCTGATGCTCACCTGACGCTCTAAAGAAAGGACGTGAGCACCAGCTCNTAGGGCAGAGGGTATGGGCCGGTGGTAGGGCAGGTGGTATGGGCCGGTGGTAGGGCAGGTGGTATGGGCCGGTGGTAGGGCAGGTGGTATGGGCCGGTGGTAGGGCAGGTGGTATGGGCCGGTGGTAGGGCAGGTGGTATGGGCCGGTGGTAGGGCAGGTGGTATGGGCCGGTGGTAGGGCAGGTGGTATGGGCCGGTGGTAGGGCAGGTGGTATGGGCCGGTGGTAGGGCAGGTGGTATGGGCCGGTGGTAGGGCAGGTGGTATGGGCCGGTGGTAGGGCAGGTGGTATGGGCCGGTGGTAGGGCAGGTGGTATGGGCCGGTGGTAGGGCAGGTGGTATGGGCCGGTGGTAGGGCAGGTGGTATGGGCCGGTGGTAGGGCAGGTGGTATGGGCCGGTGGTAGGGCAGGTGGTATGGGCCGGTGGTAGGGCAGGTGGTATGGGCCGGTGGTAGGGCAGGTGGTATGGGCCGGTGGTAGGGCAGGTGGTATGGGCCGGTGGTAGGGCAGGTGGTATGGGCCGGTGGTAGGGCAGGTGGTATGGGCCGGTGGTAGGGCAGGTGGTATGGGCCGGTGGTAGGGCAGGTGGTATGGGCCGGTGGTAGGGCAGGTGGTATGGGCCGGTGGTAGGGCAGGTGGTATGGGCCGGTGGTAGGGCAGGTGGTATGGGCCGGTGGTAGGGCAGGTGGTATGGGCCGGTGGTAGGGCAGGTGGTATGGGCCGGTGGTAGGGCAGGTGGTATGGGCCGGTGGTAGGGCAGGTGGTATGGGCCGGTGGTAGGGCAGGTGGTATGGGCCGGTGGTAGGGCAGGTGGTATGGGCCGGTGGTAGGGCAGGTGGTATGGGCCGGTGGTAGGGCAGGTGGTATGGGCCGGTGGTAGGGCAGGTGGTATGGGCCGGTGGTAGGGCAGGTGGTATGGGCCGGTGGTAGGGCAGGTGGTATGGGCCGGTGGTAGGGCAGGTGGTATGGGCCGGTGGTAGGGCAGGTGGTATGGGCCGGTGGTAGGGCAGGTGGTATGGGCCGGTGGTAGGGCAGGTGGTATGGGCCGGTGGTAGGGCAGGTGGTATGGGCCGGTGGTAGGGCAGGTGGTATGGGCCGGTGGTAGGGCAGGTGGTATGGGCCGGTGGTAGGGCAGGTGGTATGGGCCGGTGGTAGGGCAGGTGGTATGGGCCGGTGGTAGGGCAGGTGGTATGGGCCGGTGGTAGGGCAGGTGGTTTGGCAGATGGTATGACAGGTGGTAGTGGCAGGTGGTATGGGCCGGTGGTAGGGGCCTAGGGCAGGTGGTTTGGGCCGGTGGTAGGGCAGGTGGCATGGGCCGGTGCAAGGGTAGGGCAGATGGCCAGTAGGGCAGATGGAATTAAGCAGCAAGACTATAAGATAAGATAATATTGTTATGATAATAAGATAAGATAAATATTATTAAGATAAGATAAGTACCTTGCGTAGAGTCTCCTCCTTGTCGAGTTCGCTGTTGAGTGTCTCATCAATCTCAGCGAGCAGCGCGTCGTCTACGGGACACTCTACTTGCATGGGCTGCACACATATTTCAACATTGCGATAACATATGAAATAAAATATAATGTTATGAAATAACAATATGAAATAGTAATTTTAACTGTACAGTATAATTATTGTGTTTCCTCATATGAATCATGCTGTGCAATCGTATAAACGATCAACAGAGAGGTAGATCCTATTTAAATTATATACCAATTAATATAAATAGGTATGTTCGGATAATTAATTATATGGAATACAGGATGAAATATGTAAAAAGATAAAGATAACCCATATTACATTAAGTCTGCAATATAAGTTAAACAGTCTATAATAGTTCAAGTTTTCGGGCCGATTTAGTTCTGTTCTAAAAATGATAAAGTAAAATGATTAAAAAATAAATTTGAATAATAAACTTACCGCACTTGGTAGCAAAAAAGAGGAATGTATTTCGTACGCCCATTTCTTGAGGTCTTTGAATGTCCCTTCTTTGTACAGTTCCGAGATCAGGTAGAAAAACTGCACACGAATGTAGATTATAGTTGAGAGAATTCACATAGGATTAAAGGAATTCGCATCACATAAAAGGAATTCACAAGGCATTAAGAGTATACCAGGCATATAACATTGTATGATATACTAATATATTGAGTATATCAACATACAGCAGTGGCTGGAGAACAGTTCGAGATGATGAAGAGTATATCAGACATATAATAGTGTATGATATACTAATATATCAACATACAGCAGTGGCTGGAGAACAGTTCGAGATGATGAAGAGTATATCAGGCATATAATAGTGTATGATATACTAATATATCAACATACAGCAGTGGCTGGAGAGCAGTTCGAGATGATGAAGTTAAGGAAGACGGCGAGGTAGGCGGGCTGCGTGCACAGTTCGCTCAGCGACTGGAACGGCCCGTGGTCGCTGTTGCTCTGAAACAAATACACGATCATTAATAAATATAAAATATAATATACAGATAAAGAATAAGTATACTACCATTAATCGAGCGAACAATAACTATCGTTAGAATATTCAATAAATCAGGTAAAAAAAACATATATCAAAAATATAAGATACAGATAATGAATAAGTATACTACCATTAATCGAGCGCACAAATAAATATCATTAGAATATCCAATAAATCAGGTAATTAACATATATAAAAAATATAAATTACAGATAACGAAAAAATATGCTACCATTAATCAAGCACACAAATAACTATATTTAACATAATCAATAAATCAGGCATTTAACATATTTAAAATGTAACATACAGATAATAAATAAATAAACAACCATTAATCAAGTAGACAAATAACTATCATAAACATACGTAATCAGTAAATAGGGCTGTAACAAATCCGCTGTCATCAATAAATCAAGCTCGAAAATAACTATCATTTACATTAACAAGCATTCACGATTACGGACAAATAATTACGTAAAAATCAATAAAAATATCAATAAGTAATGAATAATAAATAACACGAGCACGCCAACTAACAAATGAGACCTGCAATGCAATGATTCAGCTTCACTATCAATAAATGTCACTTGGAAACGAAATACTGTATACTCAATAATTAATCAAGATATTCAATAATCGACGATTGCAAAATACTCTTTCCCATTAACACTGAATTAATGTTTAAAAATCGAGGATTGCTAAATACTGTATCCCATTAAATTATTTTAATCATATTTCAACTGGATTATTTTTACTTTAACTATCATTACTGTTTATAACATCAAAATGAAGAATATAGCTCACAGGTTGGGACTGATAAATTATTTTAAACATATTTCAACCTGGATTATTTTTACTTTAAATATCATTTATGTTTATAACATCAAAAGCAAGACTATAGCTCACAGGTTGGGGCTCAGGGTCGTCGAGTGGGGGGAAGTCGCCCCCCTCCTCCTCCATGCTCATGATGTCTGTCTGGGTCCAGGGGGCGCCGCCCTCCGAGCTCGGCCCCAGACTTGTTGTTAACTGCAATTAATAATAAATTAAATAATAATTATAATGTAATTACTTGTTAATATGCTCATATGCTCGCTAATATTTTCAGTGAGATCGACCCAAGCTTGTCGTTAACTGCACTTAACATTGAGCAATGACTGCGGTAATTAACGCAGAATCTTAAATAATAATTATGTCTTTATATTTGTTCATATTTTTTACAATGTTTTAATGTTCATAATTATTTGTATGTTTATTTATAGTAAATTTCGTATCTGCGGGCGATCGATGCTGTAAACTGAGCTGCCAATGCCTACGCTGTTTTCTAAGGAATGTTTTTAATTTATAATTAAAATTGAATTAATTATTTACGCACAGTAGCGTTAATATTTTCATTCAGAATAAAAAAAACTACACTCTCAGAGAGATGATCTAAATCAATCCAACTGAAGCAAAGAAGATTTTTATTTTCCAACTGAATTTTCAACGGCACTTTATAGCCTAAACTGACCAATTACATTATAGAGCCTAGACTGGCCCGGCAAAAAGGGTGCATTGCAATGCTACGTGTACTCTCTGCTCGTGCTGTGGGTGAGAAAGTGTGTCACTATTTAGACAATACAACTGCATATTTTTGACTAGGTACAAACACTCAGCGACGCACAGATCGACTAATCCTTTGACTTGACCAATGAAATCAATTATTTCACAGACACTTGACCTGAATACGCGTGATAGGAAAGAGCAGGGCACAAGTGGTGGTTAACTAGTATTAGTATACTAAGTGCACTAGTACAACACCCGCTATAATTAATGACAACTTTGCATTTAGATCTTTCCCGAGCAAGGCGAAAAAGCTTTCGAAATGGTAATATTCGAAACGTCGTACTGCAGTGAAATGTTATTTGGTAACCTGCCTTTCGATCTCCCAGCTCCAGCAAGAAATTTTGTTCGGCAAATTGAAAAAAAATAATACAATTGTTCATATAATGCATGCTCTGGTCTTCACTCAAACCAACATAAATTAAAGAGTATACGGATATATTAAAGTTACGGCACCGTACGATTTTTTCCATACGGTATTCATATTTTATATACTATTCAGCTTGCGCAATGCCACGCTCACGGCCTGGTGTCTAATACACAGGTTATCAAATTTGAATGCTACTCACCGGAATTGTCAAAATGGAGACGAATTCAAGTGAATTATATATGAAGTAAAATGCCAACATTGCAAGAAACTCATCGAATATATTTAACGTATATTTTTAACATTTTAAGCAAATGCAGAGCTAATTCATGTCAAAGCAGTTTCGAAAAAAAGCCGAGTGTAAAACACATTAACTAAGAGTTAAAATATTCGTATCATTACGGTTGATAATGTAATTGATCACAGACTTTGAACTAGAGTATACAAGTAGAGTTTAAAGTGAAATAAATTAATATGGTGCGCAGGAGTAGAGATGAATGTGGGGCATTAGCAAGAAGTGTGGGCATTGTCAGGTGGTGCAATGTACTAAAGAGAAGATGCAGTACACTAGCAGACGGTGCAATTTACTACCCATCCAAAATTTAGATGCGTGCTCAACCCTGCATCAGGGCCGCCTATAGGACTCAGGGAGCACACAAAACAGCTTCTCGGCTATGTCGGCTTCGGTTCAGGGTTCGAAAGGCAGACTCTGGGCAACTTGCAAACTCGGTATGACTCGGCTAGGCCAACTCTTGTCATACTCTCAGGCGACTATCAAGTCGGAAAGGACAGGCCTAACCAAATTTAGAGCCGATGACGGCTCTGGATTAAGGAACGCCTAGGACTAGGCCGGGGATCATAGTCCACCAGCAAGCTATATATAGCTTCCCTGTGTCCGCTTTTCGGTCTACATTCCGGTCCCAGATTCAGACAGCTACAAGCGAGTGGTACTTATTCTGCCAACTCTTGCCCTACTCTCAGGAGACTATAAAGTCGGCAAGGAGATTCTGACTAGTCGCTGATTGCGAACAGTTGACCAACTGACCCAGAATAACTCTTACGCGAGCATAGCGACTCTGGGGCGGAGGCTGAAGCATACCCCGAATTTTGTTAGGGGAGATTCTGACCAGAAACTGATTTCGACCGGGTGGCCAAGCAAACCCAGAATAACTTTGCGTCGAGTGTGGTGACTATTTGGCCGAAGCCTGGGCGGTCTTAGAATTTTGATAGGGTAGCCGGAGGTGCAATTATCTATAGCAGATGCAGAGCACTAACAGACGGTGCAATTAATTAGCATATGATAGATACAGAGCACTAGCAGACGGTGCAATTAACTAGCATATGATAGATACAGGGCACTAGCAGACGGTGCAATTAACTAGCATATGATAGATACAGGGCACTAGCAGACGGTGCAATTAACTAGCATATGATAGATGCAGAGCACTTCAGAGCACTAGCAGACGGTGCAATTAACTAGCATATGATAGATACAGAGCACTAGCAGACGGTGCAATTAACTAGCATATGATAGATGCAGAGCACTAGCAGACGGTGCAATTAACTAGCATATGATAGATACAGTGTACTAGCAGACGGTGCAATTAACTAGCATATGATAGCTACGGTGCACTAGCAGACGGTGCAATTAATTAGCATATGATAGATACAGTGCACTAACAGACGGTGCAATTAACTAGCATATGATAGCTACGGTGCATTAACAGAAGATGCAGTGCACTAACAGGAGATGCTGTGCACTAACAGGAGATACAGGGCACTAGTAAAGGTGCAATTAACTAGCAAATGATGCAAGGCACTAGCAGATGATGCAAGGCATGCACTGCTTTACCTGACAGTTGTTATAGGGCGCCCTGAACAGCGAGCTGGTTAGTTCACACGATGCTGAACTTGAGGTCATCAAGGACGAGGTCATGAATGAAGAGGTCATGTATGATGATGAGACCAGTGAAGAGGTCATGAATGATGATACATCGAACGGAGGGGAGGTTATTAATGAAGTGGTCATAAGAGATGAAGCAGTGACAGAAGAAGGGGTTATAGTGGACGAAGTCTGGGGGTTGATACACGTTGAAGAAGAAGAAAGAGTGGCGGCCGAGTTGGTGGAGAGTGACTGGAAAAGTTCGACATCCGAGTTTGTGAAAGACGAGAATTCACTATCAGAAGTGGCGATGGTGAAAGGTGTATGGGTGATAGTGGAGGTTAGATTCGCAACAGTAAATGGTGAACTCGCGACAGTGAAAGGTGGAGGCATGGCTTTCGGTGGCACGAAGTGGAATGTGTGATTTTGTAAACTGGGGGAGAGGTTTTCTTCAGGAGATGAATTTTTTTGTTCGGAGTTTGAAGAGAAAACTGGAAGAGAGCTTTGGGCATCGCAGCTGGGGAAGCTTGGCTGCTTACGGATGCGATGCCCCACAAATAATAGACGATATTTAGATTTTTCCAAGGGATTAAGGAGCGTCACAAAAAAATAGACGATTTTTAGATTTTTGCAAGGGAAAGGAGCGTCACAAATAATAGACGATATTTAGATTTTTGCAGGGGAAGGAGCGTCACAAATAATAGACGATATTTAGATTTTTGCAGGGGAAGGAGCGTCACAAATAATAGACGATATTTAGATTTTTGCAGGGGAAACGAGCGTCACAAATAATAGACGATATTTAGATTTTTGCAGGGGAATGATCAGTTTACGCATGGAAGTTGGAAGCAACAAGTAAAAAGGTAAGTAACAAAGACGAAGATGAATGACGATGACGAGTAATTAACGTGTATTATGACGAAGGATGAAGCCACAAACAAGGCAACACAATTAAAACAATGAAGATAAATAACACCAAAGCAAATATAAATTGGGATATGAGAGTAAGAAACAACATGTTTGAGCAAAACATAGAGATGACAACCGAAAATCGTCGATGAACGAGAATGAGACGAACGAAGTTACGTAATGAAATAACCAAAGCAGCATGACAGTAAATGGAGAATAATATAATATAGAAAAGCGATGTAGGCGGAGGAGGTAAGCAGCGGTCGAGAGGAGGGGGGAGAGGAGATCAAAAGCATTAGTGTACACACATATAAAAATTCAAACATGTTTCATTGAAGACCAGAGAATTCGTTTTATTGACAAAAAATGTTGTCCGATCTATTGAAAAAAAACTAATAAGAAAATTGTCAATATAACGAATTCTCTGGTCTTTAATGAAACATGCTGAAAGGAACAACTTTTGCCGACCTATACTAATAAAAAATTTCCACATGCATACATGAATAAAAGCAAACAAGATAAAATTGACACGAGATCTTAATAGTTAATTCCCTGTATATGATTTTTCGTACATTTTTTCATCAAATCAAAGGTAGTCTCAAATTCAACAAGGAGTTGACACACTGTAATCCACTCATCATCTGAGCTAATTGTTGATTCACTCAGAGAAATGTGTGAGACTTTGTCTAAATAACGAAGCACTTATTGCCTTCAGCGGATCAACTTTACCTAGTTACGCCCGGTATCAGGGCGTAACTAGGATGTTACGCCCTAGGATGTTACGCCCTAAGATGTCTATTTGGACAATATGACTCAGCCATTTTATTAAGTCTACACTCAAAGAGCACGGGAGAAAAAACATGCAGAAATATCCTGTTCCCATTAATTATTATTAAGGAGACGAGTTAATTATTGAGAATAATTCATTAAAATTTGTATAATTTGAACCTGATTTGTATATTGACCAGTAACTGCTTATGGCGACACAAACTCTAACACAGCTACACATAACTTATCATAACTCATACCTTTAATATAACTCATAACTTTATTAAAACAAATTGTTATATTTAATAATAATAATAATGATCTTCACCTTCATCCTGAAGGCGTGGCGGCAATTCTTACCTTAGTCATAATTGACAGCAGTCATAATTAGCCATAAATATGATTAATATCCTAGCGTTAATTACAATAAATAATTAGGTTCAATAACAAAAATAATCATTACCTCGTCAGGAATTGTGCAGTAATTCTCATCGTCATCTTGTGCTTCGTCCAGAGGCGCAGGAATTGACCCACTTATCGCAGAGGTTGACCCACTTGTGCTTATTCCACAACTTAGATTAGCTGTTGTTTCGTCAGTTTCTTCTTGCTGCTCTTGTGTTTTGGCGTTATTATTGTTATTATTATTGTTGTTATTGTAGTTATTGGCATATGGGGGAGGAGGGGTGCCAGGGGGAGGATCATCCTCAAGGAGGGCGGAGGCTACGCGGCTGGAGGATCTGTGGAGGCTGGAGGATCTGTTGGAGGATCTGTTGCTGCTGTGCAAGGAGGCGAGATCCCCCAGACTGTCTGAGCCGCTCAGGTGACCTGAGAACGCTGCATCACATACATCAGTTATGTATGATATGAATGATAGACGCGTCAATAATACTATACAACATCATGTTGATACAGAGATCCCAGAGTTGATTGATAATTTATGCTATTACAGAAATTCTTAGGAAATTTTGTGGCTATGACTTTTCAAAGTGGTAAAGCTCTCTGATCATATAGCAGGTGTTAGTCACGCACTAACAATTCAGAATTTGTATGACTTAATACCTCGTATAATTAAAGCTGTAATTGCTGCAAATGGTGGACCTACGTAGACCATACTAACATATATAAAATATACTATAATAAACTTCCCGGGTTTTAAAGCTATTTCCCTCCTTGATCCCAACGATGAACATAGAGAAATATATTGAACAAGCTAACCAGAAGAGACCATTATCGCCGCACTAGACATCACCAAAGCCTTCGACACCGTCAACCACCGGATACTGATCGACCACCTTCTCGCCTCCCCACTACCCGGATCTATCACCCGCTGGATCTCCAACTACCTACACGGCCGTTCTGCCTCAACGGAATTCCGCCATCAAAACTCTAAACACCGAATAATCCGCACTGGTGTTCCACAAGGCTCCGTCCTGTCTCCCGCCCTCTTCAATTACTATGTCTCCAAGGCTCCCCAACCACCACCCAATATCAAGATACGCTGACGATTTCACAATCTACAGCACTGGTCCCGACGCCGACCTTCTCACCCAACAACTCAACGACTACCTACCTCAACTCTGCAACTATTTCACTATCCGCAACCTGGAAATCTCTGCCAGCAAGTCAACAGTCACCCTCATTACACCGCACACGGCCCAGTACAATCACCACCCTCAAGTCAAGATCAACAATCAACTACTCCCGCTACAACACAACCCAAAAATCCTAGGCTTAACCTTTGATACAATGCTCACCTTTACCCCTCACCACAGAACCACGGCAGCAAAAGCCTCACAACGTAGCAACATACTGAAAGCACTCTCAGGCACCTCCTTTGGACAAGACAAGGAAACCCTACTGCAAACATACTAAGCCATCGGTCGGTCGCCCAATAATTGAGTATGCCAGCCCAACTTGGTCTGTCACCTCTCCTACCAACATCATTGCCTCCAAACAGTTCAAAATTCTGCTCTGAGAACCATAACCGGTTGCCACAACACAACTGCCGAACAACATCTTCACTCCGAATGTCAAATGCTCACTGTTCAACAACATACGGACCTCCTCTCAGCCCAGTACCTTCTGCGGAGCCACCTCCCTCAACACGCCTGTCACCAAATCACAAGACCGCACCCCCCAACCACGCCACATAAGAGATACTCTTTTCACCAAATACTTAAATGTCATTCAACCTTCACTCCCAACCAATATTAACAGTGCCACCCTCAAAGCAGCTAGCAGCACTCTCCACTCCAACGCTGCCCGAGCTGCCATAGACTCGTACCACCCACCAGTTCTGCTCAACGGCTGGCCTCCTCCGCTCCCAAAAATAGATAAATCTGAACAAAGACTTCAAAGATCCGCAAGACGAACGCTAGCACAGCTTCGCTCCGGCCACTGCATACTCCTGAACAGCTACAAAAGCAGAATTCATTACAACACCAATAACCTATGCAACTACTGCCACCTCTCCCCGGATGATGTGCCCCACCTCTTCGTATGCCCTAACAACCCAACGCCCCTCAGCATAGACCTTTGGAGGGACCCAGCAGCGGTCGAGCGCTGGCTCCAGCCACGGCTGGACCAGTCACGCCGGGATCGGGCGTGGGGCAACAACAACAACAACCAAAAGAGACATGTTAAATATGCGTGATCTATACAGACATGTTACACAATACAGACATGCACAACAAGCAGCACCATTATGTCATGTCTTATATGCAGCAGACTCTCACCTTCATGTCTAGTCTGCTGAGCTGCAGACATGGCTTCAGGGCTGCTCTTTGCTCTGCAGTGCTGGGAAGCTGGACGACTGCTGCCACTGCCATTACCGCTGCCACTGCCACTGCCATTACCGCTGCCACTACCACTGCCATTACCGCTGCCACTACCACTGCTGATGCTGCTACTCTCAGACGTCATGCTCTGCACACACAAGTTATTATTAAAAACATATTAATTATTATGTCCAACATTTATTAAACATTATCGTTAATGTGAGATGTGATTACTATTTAAAACAAGATAATTGGTATCTATAATTATTGAATGATGTTAACCAAGGCTTAATCACCAAAGAAAATTTGGATATCTTAACTGTTAATTATAATTGAATTAATGATATTATTAAACATGATCAATCTTTGGAACTTTACTCTCCTCGCGCATGTTATGGGTCCCAAATAACGGTCAAAGGAAGTCATTCATTTAAACTCATCAGGTTATTTAGAGAAAAAAAAACATTTATGAAACTCAAAATTATAAACAAAGGCCCAGAAAATTTTTATTTCATACAATAAATTTTATTTTTATACTGTTTACTAAATTAGCAGAGAATTGATAACCAGTTTATATTGATATTTATGCTTATTTACTGTATTGATGTACGATGTATTTACTGTATTGATGTGTGATGTATAACACTTACACTTCATTGATTACATTAAATGAAGCTGCTGATGTTTCCTTACATAGATGTTAGTAAGTAATGGTTATTGATAATTAATCAATGACAGAAGATATTGCAACAAGTTGCAGAATTTGTGTTGAGTAAGCTATAATAATAATTTAAATACAGTTTACAGTTAGTGAGTTACCGTTAATATAATATGTGTGTAGTAAGCAAAATAATAAAGAAGAAATTGAAAAATAATATCCGTAATATTCAGCCATATTTTCAATATAGAGTTACAGATTTGAAAATTGAATATAATTTAGCAGCAATCAAGTCAAGTTGAATCCTGCAGGGTTTGATAGGAGATAAAATTCCAGAAGAAAAAGCTTGGGAATTCTTTACCATCTGAATAAGTTGAAAATTCAAGTGCAAACACAAGAACTTTTGAATGAAGGCAGTCCATACAGATAATAATTCCAGGCATCTGACGTTGAATCAACGTTGATTTAACGTTTAAACGCTGCATTTACATGGATTGAACGTGGTTTCAACGTTATTTGCCTGTGTAAGTCCCAAACGAACTTTGAAGATAATCCTTTGTTATATTAGTAACGCGGCTAAATACAAGTTTAGATGTATATTGTGTATCAATTTATATAAATAATCTAGTAACAAGTAGAATAGATCAAACAATAAACAGGGAATACAGAAGACGAAAAATAAAGCGTTAGAAGTGCATTGTTAGTCATAAGCAAGTGCTGCCCCGTTATTTGCTATATAACAGGCAAATATTTCCCAATACATCAACATTTGCAAACGACATAACTCAGTTATCCATATAAGAACAGACTAACAGCTAATAATAAACTTTATTAACATATAGACCTGTAAACTCTGCTCAGACCTAAAGACTATATCATCTCTGCCTAGAGTCCGTCCTGCTTTGAGAAAGACTTAAATTCAAATTTTAATGTCATAGCTGACAATTCCACTACAAATTTCAGAGTTGTCATGTAGAAACAAATTTTTTTTTTTTTTTTAGAGGATGGCTGTTAACGTTATTACGTTGCATTAAACAGACGAATATAAGTGAATATTTATTCCTAATAAAGCAGGGTGCACTCGAGAAAATTCGTACATTTTCATACACATGGTTTCATAGCACATACACCTACAATGCTACAGAAAGTACAGATGTTTATCAAATCTTACATTAATTCGTTGAAAAAAGAATCAGAAGTGTGAGCGGTGCATATGAAATAAACAACATAACCACCAGACATCTGACATTGAATTAAACGTTTTGACGCTAAACTAAATAATATCTCGTTAAATCAACGTCCATTTAACGTTTTTTCATCAAGGTTGAATTAAACGTTTCTAATTGTAGGTATATTAAATAACAAATTAAATAGATAAATAAATAAACGTTGTTGTTTCAACGTCATTTGCTACTCAACGAAATGAAAGTAACGTAAATTGACCACAGTAAAGCATGGCAAGTAGAAGGAGGGTTACGGCCTTCTAGGAGTGCACTTAATGAACGAAAAATATCGTTATCACACAGAAAAATGTATTTGACATGTTGTCCAAATAGTGAAACACTTCCGCACGAAACACTGGAACACAATTTTGTCTTGGCTAACAGTGTCAGAATGACCTACACAACGACAAGAAGTGCATCGATATTTCGACAAAATTTCGCTCATTTCTCTGAGTGCAGGAAAAACGTACGTAAAATGAAGCGCCAGAAAGCAAGCTGAAGCAACGAATTAAGAGAACGAGTGCGTGACTGCTGTAGTTTCTCGACGGAGAAAAACGCCATGAAAAGCGTGTTTCTCTGCGAAAAAAATCAAATTTCTCGGTAGCAATGCAATTTGAGCTTCTCAGCCGATAACATTGTAATGAAAAGCGGGTTTACCAGCTGATAACATAACAATGAAAAGTGAATTTCCACCAGATAACATAACAATGAAAAGTGAATTTCCCAGCCGCTATAAAAACAATAAAAGTGAACATGTCAGTCGTGAAACTTGCAATGAACAACGAATCTCCCGGCTGATAACAACGCATGTAAAGCATCCCGAGGACACGGAGGCCCGAGGCTAGACTTACATGAGGCCCCCCCAGAGGCTGGGCCTCTCTAGCAGCGCCTCCCATACTAGGAGGCCGAGGGGGGAGTGGGGGAGGACACAAGTTTGGTGGTGCAGACATGGTGGACACGCAGCTCGGGGACGCTGACAAGCTCGAACTGCCTTTAGATGTTTTAAACGAGCTGGACTTGCCAGCTTTAGAGGTGTAAGAGGAGGAAGTGTTGCTTGTGGTGGTGGTAGTGAAAGTGACCAGGTCTGGAATTGGGTTTTGACCATCACAAGAACCTGGATTCTGACTGGAACCTGACGTCTGTCTGGGACTAGGGTTCTGACTGGAACCTAGGTTCTGACTACTGTCTCGTGTGCCTGACTTGTCTTCCGATAGGACCGCGTTGTCCAGAGCTGTTATCCCAGCAGCTTCAATGTCGCCAGATATCGACGCAGCTTCGCTTGGTGTATTGTTATTTGCTTTATTAGCCTCACTGACGGAGACATTGCTAAAAAGGGCCATAGACCCCGACGTTGTGATCGAAGCCATAGACCCCGGTATCAGATTCGAGGCAATAGACCCGGTAGCCATATTAGGGGCTGATATTTGTGATAATAAAGTTCGGTTACGGGCTGGCAGCGGAGGCGGGATCTCGGAAGCAGAACGTGAATGTTTCTGCTTTGAATTCTTGTTGGTGAATTTTTTGTGCAAGCCTTGGTTGTGGAACTGGTCTTGGTGAGATAGGTTGTGGTGAGAGCGGGACTGTGGTGGTGGTAGAGGTGGTGGTGGCATATTTTGATCTTGCAGAAACTGAAGCTGGAATTGTGATAAATGGTGTACTTTACCCTGATGGTGTTGTGGTAGTTGTCCATGTGAATGGTGCGGTGGTAAGTAAGGATGGAAGGAAGTAGGATGAGGAGGAGTACGAGAGGAATGTGATACAGCAGGAGAACGCCGGGATGATGAGGATGATGAACTATGCAACTGAAACAAAGAAATGAGCAAAGCCATAATAAACAAATGATCACATAATTAACAAATGATCAAACGAAAACGCACGACGTGTGACTAAACTATCTGACATCACGCATTTAAAAGGTGTCAAATGATTTAGCAGTACAAATTTAAACACGAACTCTGGAGAAATATGATACATTTTTACAGGAAAAAATTTTAAAAAATGCGACATATCACAAAATTCAAGGCCAAGAAATTGGGGTAGAGGACTAAACTGAGGTAGGATAGGAAGAACTATGAGGGACTATAGCCTGGGGCCGTACTATCAAAACTCGTTCAAGTACACGCAGCGGCCTAAATGTACGTAGCGGTCCAAGGATACTTAGCGGCTTAAGTGCACGAAGCGACTGAAGTACAAGTGGCGGCCCTAGTCCACGCGGCGGCCGATTTTTGATATATAATTGATGAATTTAGCTCTAAATTATTTATTAGCTGACGAAGCTATAAACTCGAAACTTTGATGGTACGACCCCTGGAAATTGTGCAGTCACGAGTATTGTACAAAAGCTGAGCTTAAGAATATAATAAGTAAAGGGAGTTTACGAACTTCAATAAACTTGAACGAAAATTTTTTTACGAACACTTGAGATGAATCACTTATAAAAATTAAATCACTTATAAAAAGGATGTAAAAACTTCGGTACTCATAAGGTAAGATAAGGGCTACAAAATCATGAGTAGGTACTTCGTCACTTTAAATTCACTAGATGGTGAAAAATTTTGCAACGTGCATCATGACATGAAAATTCAAGCTACCAAACTGCAAACATAATCAAAATCTTCAACTCGGAGACCAAACACGAAAATTTCCAATGCCACCTCATTTTCCATACCGTAATGTAGAAAGCGCAGCCAAAACTTCTCAAAATCGGTGGTTTTCGAATTTTATAACCGTTTGTTTCCAAATTCATCTTGCTTCAATATGCACATTACCCCTTGTAATACCTAAGTATCTATAGACCTGCAGCTAAATTAAAAATTTTGTTCTTTACCTCAGCGAGATAGATAATAAACTAGACACCTTCTCTTCCCCCAACCAAAAAAAAAAGAGGAATTCGCCACGTATTTTAGGAATCACTTTTCAAAATTACCCCCTACTTGAGCATATCAGTAGTTACATGACCGAGCGCATGGCGCCATTTTCCATAAACAGCTTAAATCATAGGTTACCAACCATTTACCCCAAATCTTACCCAACAAAATTACCAATTACCTTCAATATTATTACGAACAATTACCCCCGAATCTGCATAAACAGCTTAACAGGGTACTGATCATGAATCTTGCTCAACAAAATTAACCAATTACTCCCGAATCATGAGTTTACCCCGATTGAGTCATTCGAGTCATTTACCAGGCTTGAGTCATATGAGTCAAACCAGCTTGAAACCTTGAGTCAGTTTTTTTT